AGAGGTTAAGAGTAGGAAGAATTTATTGAGAGAAAGATAGCTTCTGTCTAAGAGAGACAGAAGGGGGACCGGAAAATAGGTTGCCCCCCTGATGATTCACTTTTGACCTCCTCCAAAACTTACAAATCTGGTTTTTCATGTGCCATTATACTGAATTGGGCCACTTCTACCAAAAAAATCAAAAGAAAACTTTTTAAAAAACAAATCTAGCTGGGCATGGTGGTGCACCCCTGCAAACCCAGCACTGGGGAGGCTGAGGCAAGAAGATTGCTGTGAGTTAGAGGCCAGCCTGACCTACATAGTAGTGAGTTCAGGGCCAACCTAAACTACATAGCAAGACCGTCTCAAAAAAACCCCCTTTACAAATAAATAAATAAATAAATAAATAAATAAACACCCTAGAATGGTGTGGGTGTATTAAACTCTGATGCTCAGGTAAAAACATGCAAAACCTGTTAGCCGGCACATAATGTAGATGAGAATCTCAGTTTGACACTTTTGCACAGGTGCACACACACCTTGCCATCTGTTGTACCAAGTGAGTGAACACAAAGATTGCTTCCAGTATCCTTCAGGGAAAGGCACTGAGATGCACAGCCCGCTACTACGCTGAAGTAAAAATTTATAGTAGAAAAGTAAGGGATGGGTCTGTGAAACCCAGTGTTAAGCTCGTGGGGTTGCCCTGGCTAGAACGTTGAATTTAAGTGGTGATTGGAGATCTTCTTGCGTTGTTCTGATCTTTGGAGGAAGCTTTCAGTCTTTCATCATGAGATATGTTAGCAAAAAAGAATAAAAGTTACCTATGGACTCTGGTTTTAGATTTTGCAGTACTGGGGATTGTACTCGGGGACACTCAACTACTCAACTGTGTCCCTTGCCCCCTCTTTTGAGATAGGGTCTCCCTATATAATCCAGGCTGGACTTGAACTTCAGATCCCCCTGCCTGTCTCCCAAGTATCTAGGATTACAGGCATGCTCCACCACATCTGGCAGTTTTGAAGTTCTTGTGGGTGCTCCTTATGGTAAAGGAGTTCTATTTCTAGTTTTTTGTGTATTTTTATGAGGAAAGGATGTTGAATTTTGTCAAATGCTTTTTCTATGATTACCAAGATCATGTGTTTGTCTTTTAAGTTTATTGATATGGTATAGTACATTAACTGTTTTTGCTTTTGGAGACAGGGTCTCACTATGTAGTACAGGCTGGTCTTGAATTCACTGTGTAGCCCAGGCTGTCCTCAAACCCATGATCTTCCTGCCTCAGCCTCCCGAGTGCTGAGATTACAGGTGTGCACCACCATGTCTGGATTAGTACACTGACAGATTTTCATATGTTGAGTCAACCTTGCATTTCTGGGATAAATCTCACTTGGTCACAGTATATAGTCTTTTTTATATGTTGCTGGATTCTATTTACTTGCATTTTGTTGAGATCATACTTTTTTTTTTGAGTCAGAGTGTCTCTTTGTAGTTCAGGCTGGCCTTGAGCTCCTATGTGGCCCAGGCTGGCCTTGAATTTGTGTCGATCCTCCTGCCTCAGCCTCCTGAGTGCTGGGATTACAGGTGTGCACCACCACACTCAGGCATTCATTCATATTTTCCTTGATTGATTGAGACAGGGTCTCACTATGTATGTAGTCCACGTTGGTGTCGAATTCACCATGTAACCCAGGGTAGCCTTAAACTTGAGGGGATCTTCCTGCCTCAGCCTCCCAAATTCGGGGATTACAGAGGTGTGCCACCACATCCTGCTATTTGTTGAGGACTTTTGCATCTATATACATAAAACATGTTTATTAGTCTGTAGTTTTCTTGTTATATCTTTCTGGGTTTGTTATCAGAATAATGCTGGCCTCTTAAGATCATTCTTTTTTTTTTTTTTTTTTTCAGTTTTTTAGTTTTTTGAGGCAGGATCTCCCTTTGCAGTTCAGGCTGGCCTCAAACCTCACACTCACTGAGATCTTCCTGCCTCAGTCTCTCAGTTCTGGGATTACAGACATGTGCCACCATGCCCAGCAAGCTCATTCTTTTTTTAATTGTTGAGCAATATTCCATGGAATGGGTGTACTGCAGTTTCTCTCATCATTTGTTACAATTTGGATCTGGACCCAAAGTCCAATTGTTGAAGTCTTGATCACCAGCCTCTGGTGCTATTGGGAGGTGGAAACCTTTAGGGGCTGGGGCCCAGGGGGCAGAAGCGAGATCACTGGGGCCATGTCCTTGAAGGGGATATTGGGACTCCTGCCCTTCCTCTCTCCCTCCCTCCTTCTCCCTCTCCTTTCCTCTTCATTTGCCAAGATGCCCTGGGCTACCACATGCCCAAGCCACAGGGCTAAGCAACCATGGACTGAAACCCAAAACCATGAGCCAACATAAACCTTTCCTCCTTAGAGGCTGATTTATCTAAGACATATTTATCACAGTGATAGAAACCAGACACACTGACCCATACCTATCACCATGCACTAAACTAAGATAGAAGTGGATTAAAGATCTAAATATTGTGGGGAGCGGTGGTAGCTAAGGAGACTCCATTTTGAATCTTACCCTCCATTGTATGGAGACTATGTTATGAGGAACCGTGTCCTTACCTAAATTGGATGTTTACCTTCAGAGATTGCCCTGGAATGTGATGAACGTTCTGTAGCCCCGAGAAACGGGAAGGCCCATGAGGGTGGGGAATCGCCAAGGGACTGGAAAGCAGGGAAGCAGGTGTCCCTGGATAAGGGTCATGATGTAACAACCAAATTCACCTGTAACAAACTCGGGGGTTGTATAAAAAGGGAAGAGAAAAATAAACTAAAAGCTCGGTCTTGGGAGCCCAGACGACTGTGTCTTTTTTTTCTTTTGAAGTGTGTTTTTTCTTTCATCCTCACCCCTCCTCTCAGGTACTGTTCGACTAGTGACGGCGGGCCCCGTCAAAATATTAAGACAGAAACACTAAACTTGCTGGAAGATAAGTTAGGTAGAACTCTCGAAGACATTGGCATAGGAAAAGACTTTATGAACAAAACCTCAGTAGCACGGGAACTAGCACAAAGAATCAACTGGGACCTCATCTTATTAAAAAGCTTCTGCACTGCAAGAGAAACTACCAACAGAGCTAAGAGACAACCTACAATGTGGGAAAAAATTTTTAGCAGCTGGACCTCAGACAAAGGACTACTATAAAGAACTTTTAAAAAATCAGACTTCCCAAATTTAAAGACCCAGTCCAAAAATGGGCATCTGAAATGAACAGACATTTATTTCTCAAAGAAGTAGAAGCAGCTAATAAACATATGAAAAAATGTTCAACATCACTGGTCATTTGAGAGATGCAGATGAAAACAACACTGAGATTCCACCTCACCCCAGAAAGAATGGCTGCTATCAAGAAATCAACCAATAACAAATACTGGCGGGGGTGTGGGGAGAAAGGAACCCTTCTCCATTGTTGGTGGGGGTGCAGACTGGTGCAACCAGTGTGGAAATCAGTATGGAGATACCTCAAAGAACTAGGGCTAGAGGCCCCATTTGACCCAGCTATTCCCCTGCTGGGGATCTTCCCAAAAGAATTAAAAGAATCATACCACGGTGATATATGTGCACCCATGTTCATAGTGGCACAGTTTGTAATAGCGAAAGCTTGGAAACAGCCCAAGTGCCCATCTACTGGAAACTGGATAAAGAAGATGTGTTTTTTTTTTAAAATGGGGTACTACTCAGCCATAAAGAATGAAAAACTAGAGACATTTATAGCTAAATGGATGCATATTGAGGCCATACTCTTAAGAGAATTAAATAGGACACACGTGTAAATACTGAATAGTTTCTCTAGTTTGAGAAACTGAAAGTGTAAATAAGAATTAAAATGATTAAAATGAATAATTGATACTGTGAAATAGGAAAAGGTCCAAAGGGGTAGGGGTGGTGGGAGGGGGAGGGGAAGGGGAAAGGAAAGGAGGGAGAGGAAAAATTATGAGAAAAGAAAAAAAGAGGAAACAAAGTCTATGTAAATAGGGATGGGTGGAGGGGATGAAGGGCGCACAGGTGATGGGGAAAAAAAGAATCAAGATACATCATGTACAGGTACAAGCTCCCAATGATAAATGTAAATGTATTGTTTACCTAAAATGTACCAATAAAAGAATTTAAGGAAAAAAAAAAGAATTTAAGCAAAATAAATAAATAAATAAACCTGACACACTATTGATTTGATTTCCAGTTTTCCCCTATTATGGCCAACCTGCAAACTTACATACCACTTTCTCACATGTATAAAGGGATGTTCCAGGGGGTGGGAGCTTCTTGTCTATTCACACATCTGTCCATCTACTTTTCCACTCATTCATCCATCTGCCCATCTGCTCTTCCCTCCCTCCTCTTCCCCTCCCCCTCCATTCTTTCTCCCTTCCTCCCTTTCTTCCCATGAATCATCCATCTCCCTCCAGGCAGATAAACTCTGGGTCCAAGGCAACCTGTCTTAAAACTAGGCAAGTGCCAGGCATGGGGGTGCATGCCTGTAATCCCAGCACTTGGGAGGCTGAGGTGGAAGGATCACTGGAGTTTGAGGCCAGCCTAGGATACATAGTGAGTTCAAGGCCAACTTGAACTACATGGTGAGACCCTGTCTCACCAAAAAAAAAACCAAACCAAACAAACAAAAATACCGGAAAAACAGAAAAAGAAGGATGGATAACTGATAAGGAGAAATCTGTGAGTTTTGAATCCCAAGGAGACAACCTGAATTTGGTCCTAAAACAATGTCACACCCTGGTCATGGAAATTTATTTGTTTCTTGTTTATTTGTGCCACTGAGGATGAAACCCAGGGCCTTTGCACTGAGTTACATGCCCAGCCCTTTTTTATTTTTTGAGACAGGATCTCCCTAAATTACCCAGGCTAGGCTCAAACTTTGGATTTTCCTGCCTCAGCCTCCTGCACACCACCACTCCCAGCTCTGGACTCCTGAAGAGCTCAGACAACTCAGACCATGGACAAAACCCCAGGCAGCACCGAGATGGTAAGAATAGCGAGCGCACTCAGGGAGACTGCTCATTTATTGCATGGCTTGGATGGAGCCCTCTAGACTGTAGGTCTGGTCTCAAACCTGCATGAGGGGAAACACAGAGGGTGGTGGTGATCATGAGATGTAGTTGGACACCTCAATCAGGTTTCTGTCTGGGTCTCGGAAGTAGATGGACATAATCGGTCCTTTTGCCCCTGTTCTGGGAACTGGGCCCTCCTCAATGGGGACATCAAAAGCCTGAGGAGGGAGAAGAAAACAAGTCATTTATCAGAGCCCACATGTGAGACTAAAATCCAATTCCTAACAGTGGCCTAGAAGCCCCTGAACCATCCTTTATCTTTCTGACCTCACCTCCTGCCATTCTTTCTTCCCTCTTCTGCCCAAGAGCAGACAGCCCCATAGCTAAGCCTCCTCCCTCTGTAAAGTGGACAAGAAAATAGTATCTAGTACTTTCCAGTGAGTGACAGGAACAGAATTGAAACCCGGGCAGTCTGGCCCCAAGTCTATACTACTTGTATGTGTGCAGGTGTGTGATACAGGGGATGGAACCCAGGCCCCCGCTCCTCTACTGAACCACACCCCCAGCCTTATTCCTATTGGGGTTTTTTTGAGCCAGGAGCCCACTCTGTAGTTCAGACGGGCCGAGATCCACCTGCCTCAGCCTCCCAAGTGCTGGGATTACAGGTGTGCGCCACCACGCCTGGTGTGGTGGGTAATTGAGTAGATAACTGTGAACATGCATTGTGTGAATACAGGGAAATCATCAGTCTGAAGCTTGAGGGAGCCCTCCCTGGGCCATACTGTGTTTTTCCTGGCATCTGCAGTTTTCTCAAAAAGAACAAAGCTTGGGGCTGTGGCTGTAGTTTTTAGCACGGCCACGTGAAGCCCTGGCTTCATCCCTATCACCAACAAAACAAAACACCCCACAAAAGAACAGAAAAACAGAGAAAGCAGCAGCCCCTCGCACCTTGAGGCGCTGGATCATCTCCTCCAGAGGAGCCTCTGTGATCAGACAGATGTCCAGGGAGCCAGGCAGGGGGTGGATGGCTTTGGGTTCAAATTCCTTCCCCATCTCATGCAGGTTAAATTTCTGATCTCCAAAACGTAGTGCTTTCTGGTCTCCCTGTTTAGGGGAGTGAAGACAAGTAGAACTAAAGCTCCAAGGCAAGTGAGCTAGCCACCCCCCCCCAGGTATCTTCTTAAACAACAGGGTTGCTGCACACCAGCCCCTGCTCCATGCAGCTCATTCCTCAGAGAAACTCCCAATGTGCATGAGCATGTTTTACGTTTATACCATCTCAAAATTATTTTCATGTCTCTAAATATGTCTATATCACCCATAGCAGAGATAGCAATTTGTCTAACCAATAATATTTCCCTCTTTTTTCTTTTCCTTTTGAGACAGTCTCACCATGTTACCCAAGTTGGTTTCGAACTCCTTGGCTGAAGAGATCCTCCTGCCTCAGCCTCAGGATTGGTCTCCCTTTTCTGGTAAACACAACCCCAATTTTTTTTTTTTTTTGGTACCAGGGATCGAACTCAGGTCCTTGAGCTTGCGCATCAGGCGGCGAAACCACTGAGCTAAATCCCCGGCCCTACAACCCCAATTTTGATGGAATCAACTGTGTGCCCAGCTTTATTTTTAAAAAAATAAATAACCCTACATTTCCCAGCATTCCTTGGTGGGTGGGAGGCCATCAAGTAAAGGAGGGCACTTAGCATTACTGGACAGTGAAATGGAGGCAGGCAGCACTCTGGGAACCTCTCTGGCCACTCAGCTGGTACTCTGTGCCCATTCATTTCCTCCTTCAGACCCTGCTCGGTGACAGCAAAGAAAGCTCTTGTTTAAATCTCTGTTTACTGAGTTCTCTCCTACAAACTCCCCAGCACAATTCAGAACAGTGAACCAGGGCACCGCTATTTTCTTCTCTTTTTTTCCCCTCAGTATTGAAGATTGAATCCAGGGTGTTTATACTGACCTACAATCTCCAGCCCTTTTTAATTTTTTTCAAATGAGGCCTCCTTAAACTGCCAAGTTACCCTGGTTGGATCAACTTGTGATCCTCCTGCTTCACCCTCCCAGAATGCTGGGATTAAAAGTGCACACCACTGCGCCCAGCCAGAGACTTTTTTCTTTTGAGACAAGGTCTCACTATGCAGTTCAAATTGGCCTTGAACTCCTATGTAGCTCAGAATGACCTCAAATTTGACAATCCTCCTGCCTCAGCCTTTCCAGTGCTCAGATTACCCAAGCACCACCATGCTGACTTGAGACTATTTCTTGATTTAGCAACTTTATTTTCTTGAAATCTACGATAAATTGTGAATTTAGCCCATGAATATTACAACCTCTCCCAATAGAATTCTGTCATTTAGTTCCTCTTCTGACTCCTTTATAATTTTTTTTTTTTGGTACCGGGGATCGAACTCAGGTCCTTGCGCTTGTGCAGTAGGTGGCAAAACCACTGAGCTAAATCCCCGGCCCTCCTTTATAATTTTTAAACAACCACTTGCAAGTTCATTTATTATTTTTTTGCAGTGCTGGGGATGATGCTTGTTTTTTGATAATTCTGTTGCTTTGTTGTCTTCTCTGTTTCTTCCTCTCCTGTATCTCTTAGCATCTGGTATTTCTTTTATAATTTCTCTTTTTCTTTCATATCACTGATTGATACCATACCCACTATCAGAAAATGACTTTATTTCACTTTTACACTTGATAGTTTGGCTCAGCGTACAACTCTAACTTGGTATTATTTTCCCACCGCCTTTTAAGTATGTTGCTCGAATCTGGAGTGCTAAAAAGAAGTCTGGTGTTAGCTGGGCACAATGGTGCAGGCCTGTGATCCCAGCACTGAGGGAGGCAGGAGGATCACAAGTTCGAGTCCTGCCTGGGCAAACTAGCAAGACCCTGTCTCTAAACTACAAAATAAAAGGGCTGGGGATGTAGCTCAGTGGCAGAGCATTCCTTGGCTCAGTCTCCTGCACACCCAAATGGAATAAATAAATAAATGACTGGAATGAGATGTTAATATGCCTCTCATTCTTTGGCTGGTGACAGGGTTACTTTCTGCTCTGCAGCTGTTACAATTCTTGGTCCTGAAATTGTTCTCCAATTCAACCACAGGGGCTCGGGCATCATATGCACACCTCATCTTTTTTGCAGTTGGCCCAGGGAAAGCCCACCTCTATGATTTGCTTCGTTTTCTCTTCGTTCTCTATCCCCATGGTCACCTCAGGCCGCCATCAGAAGTCTGATGTGTTGGCTAAGCACCCTTTGGTTTTCCTAAGCGGCTGAGGAAAGAGCATTATGTTCTGTGTGGGTGTTACAAACGCTACCATGCTGTAGAACTCACTGTATTTCTTCATTTTCCTTCTTCTGTGTCTCACTTCACTCCGCACACTGGCGAGATGAGTGCTCCACTGCGGAGCTCCGTCCCAGCCCTCATTCCCCACTCTGGAAGCTGAAGTTGTTCCAAATTCTCAGGGATATATTTCATCGCTGGAAACTCTTTTTTCCTTGGATCTTTTTTGGTCCTTTCTCTGTCCTGTTCCAAACTGGACCGATCGTTCTCTACAGTCTTTCTCTTGGGGACCACTGATTCCTGACTTCCATCTCTTCTTATTCCATTCATTTTATTTATGTATTTGCTCTGTAGTGTTGCTGCGGATGGAACCCAGAGTCTCTCTCAGGCTAGGCAACAGCTCCACCACTGAGCAGCACCCACAGCCCTCAGGCAGACAAATTTCTGAGGCTTTTTATGTCTAAGAATGTTTTATCTACACTTTGAGCAATAGTTTGGTTGGGATATAGAATCGTAGTTTAAATTTGAGGTGTCCTTTTTTTTTTTTTTTTTTTTTTGTACCGGGGATCATACTCAGGACCTTTCGCTTTCAAGGCAGGCGCGGGAACCACTGAGCTAAATCCCTGGCCCCTTGAGGTATCCTTTTATCTTCTGGTCTCTGATGTGGCTCTTGGGAAATTTTGTTTTTGAGACAGGGGTCTCACTATGTATTCCAGGCTAGCCTTGAACTTGAGGTGATCCTCCTGCCTCAGCCTCAAAAGTGCTGGGATTATAGGTGTGCACCACCACACCTGGCTTCCCTTTATTTCTATGCTACATTTTTTTCCCTCTTGTCCATTCTCTCTCTGCAGGTCCCTCTATTCAGAGTTTGGAATTTGCTCCCTTGATCCTTTTATGTTTTCTTTCATATTTCCAGTGTTTTAGTCTTTGGAGTTAAGCTCTATTTTACCCTCCCCCCTTTTTTGCAGTAATGAGGATGGAACTTGAGCCTCACAAATGAGGTTAGGTGAGCACTCCTCCATTGAGCCACATCCCAGCCCTTAAATTAGTATCACAGACCAGGGTGTGGTGGCACCTGCCAGTAATCCCAGCACTTGGGAAGCTGAGGCAGGAGGATCACTGAGGCCAGCCTGGGCCACATAGTGAGTTCAAGGCCAGCCTGAACTACATATGGAGACTCTATCTCAAAAAGAAAAAAAAAAGGGCCAGGGATTTAGCTCAGTGGTTCTACCGCCTGCCTCACAAGGGCAAGGTCCTAAGTTCGATCCCTGGTACCAAAAAAAAAAAAAAAAACAATTAGCATCATGGTTTCATCTACCTGGGGAAGCATTACCTTGAAAGTTGTGACTTCCATGCCCAGGACCTTGGAGTAGAAGGTGGTGGTGTCTTTGATGCTCTTTACTGTCATCACAATGTGGTCGAGTCTCCGGATAAGACACGGGGAAGCGGTCTGACTGCTGTTTCTCCATGACTAAAAAATAAAATGAAAGTCAGAAGAAAGCACCTTGCTACTGGACACTTGCTTTTCCTTCTCTTCCACTCCAGTCCCCTCTCCAATTATTCTGTTTCCTCCTTGCGCCCATTTCCAGGAGACAGTGCTGCAAGAAAATGTCTGTAAACTGGGTGTGGTGGTGCACACCTGTAGTCCCAGCACCCGGGAGGCTGAGGCAGGAGAACTGCTGCGTGTTTGAGGCCAGCCTGGGCTACGTAGTGAGTTCAAGGCCAGCCTGAACTACACAATGAGACCCTGTCTCAAACAAACAAAGCAAAAACAACAAAAAAACCAGCTCTCATCATTGATTTTTCTGTTATATATGTTTGCTATCTATTTCACCAATTTCTGCTCTTTTTTTTTTTTTTTTTTTTTTTTT